AAGTTATGGTAGTTTAGTACATGCGTCAAGCTATTTGAATGCCAATCGCGACATCTGCCAATGGTACTGAACGGAGGAAATATCAAATTGAAATTTGTCCGGATTTTGGCGACGCACCCTGTATATTATTTGTATTTTTAAACGCATCAACACACATTTGTGTTTTTATCTGTGCCAAATTTCCATCTCGTTTAATAAAATGTCGGTTAAACGTTTGTAAACGGTTGACAACTCGACGTGTGGTCATTCCAAGTTCTCTGGTTTATAGCTTACGAGAGTATTGTACGCCCGTAACTGTATAGTTTCAAAACGCTTTGCACGAGAAAATCATCAACGGTGGGAGGTTGTACTCCAACCAGGATGGTTATCTTACGATCCTCGTGAAGGTTCAGAATTGATGGTAGATAGCGACCGAAGGCGACGACGACAGGAAACTGGAAACTATTTACTCGAGGGACGATATTAAGGGAGAGGAAGAGGGGTTATATGAAAGCGGATAGGTCAGAGCGATATAACGCCACCGCGCCGCGAACACGGTATATTGTTGAAACCGGAAGGGACGATCGCGCGGTAGTTGTCGCGCCAGGAATCCAAATACAAAGTCGCGTGCTGCTTACACAATTCAAACCGCGATATTGTAAAAAAACAAAAAAAAAAATAACACCATTCTACCAGTTTTAATAAACTGTAAGGTTCTTACGTCGCGACTGTAGATTCGCGACTCTCGTGTGGAAACGATATCGAAATGTGGAAGGAACGACGACAAGCCCGAACTCGGGAGCGGAGGACATTTTTCCCGGAACATTTTTTTTTTTTTTTCTTTCCGCTTCTCTAGTCCTCTACACTTTTCCCAGGATTTCGTCGAGAAGCAGAGATAAAAGTACGAGGAATTTATAGCGCAAAGAAAGAATGGATCTTTCTCTAAGGCACTGGAGCGTGGGATCTGCGTGTATCAACATTTCGCAAACATGTAAAAAGATGTGTACGTCGGGAAAGAAAGAGAAAAATGCGATCAAAAGATAACACACACAACAATACACAGGTACATCGCAGGTGCACGAATCATACATTTTTACAATCCCTTTCGAAATGGAAAGATCGAGGCGAATTCAAAAGCCAAGTTTGAAGCATGTTAATAAAAAAAACAACCCCATATAATGCGTAGTCTAAAATTGTTCACAGATTAAACAGCAAACATTCTCAAAGATTCAAGAGAAAATCCAATTATCGTGCCATAGTACACATTCTTCTAACGCGAGTGAGTGAGAACGCTATTCGACTACACACCCCTAGATTTTTCATTCTTTCGTTATTAATTCCGTGAAGTTGGGGTAGCATTGCAGGGCGCAATAAATGATGAGAACCGTTGGTAATCCGTGTTTGTTGCGCCGCGCGCATGTTGAAATGGAAAAGCGCGGCCGCGTTGGCGGCGCGGTCGAGTTTAGAGATTTCGTAGTCAATGTTGAAAGTAACACGAGCGTTTCTGAGAAACGCATAACACGGCCGCCGCCGACCGTGGGCTTTAGGGTTATTGCAGTCCATTTTCAATCCCCGCATATTCCCGCGGGACACGTGTGTTTCCACATGTGCTCATATAGTGGGATCTAATGGGACCTCGCGCAATAACCTCCGCCGTTGCTCCATTGCTCGAAACTCTTCCGTATCCGTGTACTACGTTTCTCTCGCGCCGCCGCTATACAGCAAGTGGAACATTTCCGGGAGAAATGAAGCGAGAGGAACAGAAAGCACGAAAACAAACTCGGAACGTAATTAACGTTTCGAGGAAGCATACAAGTCCCGCGCGTGAAAGCTCAACTTGCAAATCTGAAACGGGCAATTTAAATTCTATTACGAGAACACTTGCGCGGTTTCTGACAGTTATATGTATACAAGAAAAAATGTCCTTAAATCTAAGAGGAAAAAAAATTAGCGCCACGAAAGTCACGCGTTTTGCGAATTATTCAAGTTATCTCAAGATGGTTCCTTATTAAAGTTACCCTCTTGTTATATAAGACAAAGCACATTTCGCGTTTTCTCGAAAAAGAATTCCACGAAAATTATTTTATTCCATCGTGGTGTTTTATTCTGAAAATGCTTTTTTCTTTATTAATTGTGTTTTTTAAATTTATTTTATTAGATTCTAGTAAAAAATTAATAATTAATTAGTTAGTTTATTATATATACAGATTTTTATATACAGTAAAAAAAGAATGTTAATTTTTTGGGAGGTCTACTCTAAATTTTAAATCAACTCATTTGTCATGTGTTACATATTGACAAACTAATAAAATGTTAAGTAAGTGACACAATACTTTAAATTATATTTGTTATTGCTATTTGACTTTAAGTGTGATGCAAAAATAATACAATAACATATCACAGTTATACGTTAATTCTGACATTGAAGTTATAGTCAAAACGAGGTAACACAAGAAAATTCTAACATACAGACGATTTTTTACTGCGTATATATGTTTGGGTGATTTGTTTACGTCCAATATCGGAATTTAAATTGTTTCTTATAAACGCTTTATTTATGTCTTTTTTTATTGCACAATTCCAATGCAAATTGGGTACGGCAAATTGGCGATGTGTATCGCGAGAATGTAGGATATCTGTTTCATTTTATATATGCGCTTGTCTATTCCGTTTACGTTATTCTCAGGTGAATTCGGGCACTGTCACGCACACGAATTGCCCACCATTCTCTCTCGTTACAGATGTCTTGTTTATAGGTGCGTGCACCGCATCTATAAATGGTTTACCGCATCATACAACCCGCAGCGTAAAGTCTTTTTTTTTTTTTTTATTGTTTTAATTCCAACACGCGACCCTCAAAGCTTTTTTAGCGTGTGACACATGCGGTCCCATTTTTGTGTCGAATACGCGTAAGAAACGAATTTAAATCAACACACACGTAACAAATTTTTGTTTATCGTCAATCGAAAAATTTATTGACCGCATTCTGTGCGTTTACTCTCTCTTGTCAATAGAGACTGTTGCTGAACTGCTACTAAACTGTTTGCAATTTTGGAAGTTTACAAGCGCACTTTTCGTACATTAGAATAAGTTACTGTTTCATCGTGCAATTGATCGCGCGCACAACAAACTGTTTTTGAAAACACTATGATAAATGAAAATCAATTTATAAAACGTTATTCTCGAAAAAAAAAACTACTCACTTCTCTAACTATCACATTTGGTAATATCTTTTAAGTTATCTCATTAATTTGAAGTAAAAATTAATAAATGTACCTCGCACACACACAATTCCCAGTCGACTGTGATGCATGACGTCGAACGCGAGGGCGCCGTCTCTTTTCTCTCTTCAAAGATTCTTTTAAAACTCGAGCGATAGCGTCATAAATAATGATGGATAATCCTTTTTCTTTTCAAGGATACGAATGGGTCGGATGGCGGAACGACACACCCAATATGCTCGGACGTCCGGTGGAAATAACTTTCGAGTTCGACTACTTGAGGAACTTCACTGCCATACACCTACACATGAGCAATTACTTCACGAAGGACGTGCAGGTATCGCCCTTCGCGCCGTTACCGGCATTATTTCGAAAGTTACGAGCTCCCTAGAACTATCGTAAATTTCACGATCACACATTTGGCGACGTACCCGCGCTTTTAAGCGGTTTTAAAAAACATTTCTTCGCAATTTATAGTGTCCGCGATGCCTGCAGCTACGACACCGCTGCAATTCCTGCGCTTTCGAGCTTAGTATTCCCGTATCGACGTTCTCCTTAAAATGGAATGTAGTTCCGTTGTATGTGTGTTTATTCTACTTCGCAATTTTAACAAGGAATATGAAAATATTTTATCGGATAAAAAAAAGTTTATTACGCGCGATTGTTTTTTTTTTTTGTACGAACTGCCGTTTCATTATTTTTTATTTTTTTATTTTTTTATTTTTTTTTATTTGAAAGTTGTTGTGCAGTTTTTCTGTTTAGTATAAATAAACGAATTACGATCTCGTAAGACGTTCTATAAATATTTAGGATCGCGATGTTGCTCCCGCAGGTCTTCTCTTATGCGAAGGTCTACCTCGGCACAGGCGGCAACCACTTCACCGGCGAGCCTGTTCATTTCTCTTACATACCCGATCAAGTGCTCGAGCAGGCGCGCGAAGTCACTATAAAGCTGCATTCGCGCGCCGGCCGTTTTCTGAAGCTGCAGCTCTACTTCGCGGCGCGTTGGATCATGCTCAGCGAAGTGATCTTCGAATCAGGTAAGCGAAAGCACATTCTTCTCCTCCGCACGTCAAGCCTCCGCGCGATCGAGATTTATCTCTCGATGTTACTTTCGGTAACGCTCTCGCACTCGCGTTTCCCACGTCGCGTCGAGACGTTCTTCGGGAGAGTAATGGGCGAGGTTAAGCTTCCGTCTAGAAATCGTCTCTTCCATTCACTTTCTCTCTCTCTCTCTCTCTCTCTCTCTCNCTCTCTCTCTCTCTCTCTCTCTCTCTCTCTCTCTCGCATATGTAGACGCACTTTTAAGGCAAACGGAAAATCAAAGGAGGCGATCCAGAAAATTGAAATCTAGAAATAGAGCAATTTCGAACTGCCGTACATATTGCTCGAGCACGCGGTTTCGATACGCGGAATTTTCAATTTTAAGCGACGTATTTTTCAACAACGATATATAAGACATCCAAAAGAAGTGGATAAAACCGAAGTATTTCGAATACTCATGCGCAAAGTTCGAAGAGAGAACGAAGTCATCGTCGTCTCGCTTCTCGTTTTTATTTACCTCGCAATGTGTGTGAGTGTGTAACATGAAAATCTCTCGCGGACGGATGGATATCTTTTGCATTTGCACGCGCGATTTATTCTCGAAATCGATTTGGCACCGGTATCGCGTATCCCCCCCCCCCCCCCGAAACAAAAGACGGCGCGAAACATTTAAAGTTTCGGAAATCGTTTAATCCGACGTTGTTGTTCGCCCGACTTTAAAGCACTGCGGAAAGCAAAAAGCAAAAGTATCCGCGGCACGTTGTGCGAATGAGAGCACGTGGTCGTGGACCGGAAACGAAACTTACTTACCACTCGAGCGCGCGCGCGTACACACACACACACACACACACACACACACACAGAGACACTTCTCAAAAAGTTTTGTCTCGAAAAGCCGGAACGTTGCATCAGCCAGACGAGCGGAGCCGTCGTTAATCATTCTCTCAGCGCGCTGTGTTCTTTCCTTTCGCGCGAAAGATAACTTCGGCAACGTAACGCTGCCGAAGCGGTTCATTTTCTTTGTCACCTTATAGCGCGCGGCAAGTGGCACATAAACCTTGTACACATATTTCATTTTGAGAAGGTCATTTATTACGAAAACTAAATTGCACGCGTTTATCTCTTCTCTGAAATCACGATGCGTAAATTTTTTTTCCGACATCCTTAACATTCTTATTAAACGATCGCGAGTCTCGAGTTTTTTTCGGAAACAGCAATATGAATTCTACAGTTGTTATATATATATATATATATATATATGTATATTTTTTTTTGGATATATCTCTTTTCTCTGCAAGCTGTGTCAAGTAACAACGGTGACCGTCGACACCTTTTTTTTCATCATGTAACATTTTTCTATTGTTCTAAAGCGGGGAACGACGCGGTATTCTCTTTCCGTTCGGTTAGAAAATAACACGAATCCCCGTATAGATTGCGTAATCCGCGGGAAACTGATCCGCGACGGAAAAATATCGCGCGACCTCTATACCGACCACCGCCACGAGAAGCGTGCTGAATCATCGTTATATAAGAACGAGAAACTTTATTAAACATTTATAAGTTTATATAGAGAGCTATTCCAGTTGTGCGGCACTTTGTTCCGAAAGAATTGTAGACTTTTTTAAATACGCGCGCGGAGCTAGCCGCGCGATGGAAATTCGTAATCTCTTCTTTCTCTCGTAACTTTTATGCGGTAAAAAAAAAAAAAAAACTACGAGAGAAAGAGAGAGAGAGAGAGAGTGAGAGAGGTTAATAAATTTTGTATAAATTAAAAGCGCCTTTTTAACCGCAGCGCGTGTAACAATTAGTAATGTACTTTGGCACTCCGCGCGTGTGTGTACACATTGACGTTCTCGCCACGACGAGAAACCGACGACGTTTCTCGCAGTTGCTCCGCAAGTTCAATCAAGAAAATCGAATCCTCGATTTCCCGGCAATGTGGCGGGCGGCAAAATGCAACTGTTACAGTCGCAGTTTATCCAATGACCGACTAGTTTATCCGACATCGCAACCGCATATCGATCACCGATATATTTCTTTTAATCCGTCTCCAACGATCCGAACGAGACGGAACTTAGTTGTCGGTTTCTGGTAATACGAGCTTTCGCGGAAGTTTCGTGTCGCTTCGTTGCGTCAAGAGTGAGAGAGAGTATAGATCGTGTTGGGGGTACGTCGTTAATCATTCCTACGTACTCACCGTCCTCGACTACGAGCGATAAGTCGGATCGGGTTGGAGGGAGGCGGCCAATGTTCCTCGTCACCTACGTACCACACATAACTCGTATTCACGTCATACAAACGCTTCGTTGAGCCTTCGTCATCGATAGGAAAATATATCGTTACCACCTACCTCCCTCTGTCCTCCTCCTCCTCCTCCTCCTCCTCCTCCTCCTCCTCTTCCTCCCTTTCCTCCCAGGCAACCGAGTTTTCCACCGAGCGAGCACTGGACTGCGCGCACCCCGAGTTTCCCCGGCAAAAGCTTCGAGAGCAATTTCGAGAGACCCCACTTCGATTAATTTTCCTCCTCCTCCTCCTCCTCCTCCTCCTCCTCCTCTTCCTCCTCCTCCTCTTCCTCCCTTTCCTCCCAGGCAACCGAGTTTTCCACCGAGCGAGCACTGGACTGCGCGCACCCCGAGTTTCCCCGGCAAAAGCTTCGAGAGCAATTTCGAGAGACCCCACTTCGATTAATTTTCCTTTTTATGAATTACGCGCATACGAGAGAACCGCGCGCGTCTAACTGCTCGAAAATTGGAATATTTTCTGGTGTCCATTAGTCGATAAACTGCCGCGGCACTAATTTTCAGTTTGCCTAACGAGAAATTCCAGCTGCGTGTGACACGAATTAAATTCTGGTCGCGATATTTGTTCGTTCTCCAAACGATCGATATCGCGGAAAACTATCCCGAATACAAATGAAATCCCGTGCGCGCGCGTCTACATCGTGTGCCGGCGCGGCCGCAAAAGGACATTAGTGTAACTCGATGAAGTCAGACGACGACGACGACGACGACGACGACGACGACGGCTCTATGGTTATATACACAAACTTCGCCTCTCGTTTCCGCGAGGTGTATAAACTTCGCTTTTAATACATAAATCGTAAACTTCGCTTTTAATACATAATCAATCTCGCCAACTATTGACAACCGTGTATTCGAAAACACGTCTCATTAATCGACCTAATAGTTTAGCCGATATTCTTTTTTTTTTTTTTTTTTTTTTTTTTTTTTTTTTTTTTTTTCGCCACGCTGTACACCACGAGGCGAGACGAGAAGAAACTTTTTTGCGTCCCAAGTATTTAACGCTCGGCGAGCGTTGGATTTCATTAGCTATAATCCTGTGAATGCGCAGTTATCTCAGAATGGAACAATACCGAGGACGAAGAGGCGAAGAACAAGAGTGCCATTGTATCGGCGACCGGCAGCCCCTATCAGAATAACGAGGGTCCACTGCAGAGGGACGAGGTGAAGGCTACTTTTAATAAGGAGGAAAGCAAAGATAACACCTGTAAGTCCACTGTCCGATCTTTTCATTGTTATTCCGGTAAGTTACGTTCATAATTTTCCGCGCAATTGACCGCTCTTTTCGACTGAGCTTTTTATCCTTTATATATCGAAGCGATGAGCTTCGGTATATATTACGGGAAAATAGTTGCGTCCCCGCCCGACAAAAAGGACTATTATGCGCGCGATGACCACTGGCGATTTATTAACGCAAAAACTGTTAATTTGAGTGCTCGGCATAGCGCGCGCTGATCGATTATTTCACGGACGCGCGCGACATGTGAAATATTGTCTCAATGATGTTTATTTAAAACATCGTGTGTCCCGTTAATTAAATTAAAAAGTTTGATTTACTCGATACTCTTTTTAACTATTGATAATTTTTCATATTTATCTAATAAAAAATGTTACACGGTCTGTTGCGATCAAACAGTTTCGACATAAATAATCGAAACGTCGCGAAATCTTTGTAATGTGTATTACGGTGCCGCCCCGCACAATGTGCTTTCTCCGTTAGTTTCGTGACGAAGCACGAAGCATAATTAGCGCGGAGTCAAAGAGGCATCTCCGGAGAAATTCTCTTTCTGATAGCGCGACGTCGTGTTACACTAGAATTAATGGAAAAATAGAGACGGTCCGGAAAATCCTGTGAAGAACAGCGCAAAAAAGTACATCGGACAGTCCCAGAGACGTTCTCGAGATTCCACGATTATCTACTAAAGAAGAGTCATAAAAGAAAAAGAGCGCGCGCGATCGCGCTTTGGTCCCTTGACCTCGCTTGAGTTTGTTAACCAATAGACCGGGGAACACTTTTTTTTTTTTTTTTGTATTCTTAGCGGCAAATGAAAGCACCGCGCAATTAACCTGATTAATTTCTTAACACTCGCTCTGATCGATTGATATTGAAACAGTCTTTTCTATCTCTCTTTTTCCTCTTTCTCTCTCGGTGTGAAATTAATGGGAAAAAGAAATTCCGTGGAATATGCGCCGATGAAAAGAACTTATTATAACAATACGCTATACCGAACCGATCACGCTCGGTATTCTCGAGAAACGTGATTGAACTAATTTGCACTTCTTTCTACTGAGGTTGCGCGACTCGCGCCGGTGCATACAGCGCGAAATTTTTCAGTCACACACAGTGAAGATGTCAAAATTGCTGAAATTTCTTCATTTCTTGTGTTACCAGTTTCGAGCTTGCGTGCCGGTTCAATTTACGTCTGTATATTCGTGTGTATATACAACTACGCGAAAACTGCTCTGTTCGCGTGTTCACTTGCTAAACTCCGCCTAAGGAAAAGCGCAAGAAAGCGAGGGACGAGGCATTCATGTTTTCTCGCTTGAAGCGCGACGTACCTAATGCTCGTTAAATATTATACTGCGCAGAAAGGTACGGATGTATGCTAGCGCGCGGGTATTCCGCAAGTTGGCGGAGTTAGCTTTGAACTCGGGGCGGGAAAAAAAGAAAAGAATAACATCGCGTACCTTTCAGTTGTTCGCTCCCGTACTTTTGTACAAAACGCACATTACGTTAAAACCAGTCTGCAAAATTTTCGAGTATAGACATACGCACGTTTGCATATTTACACAAAAGATTGAATTTCTCAAGATTTATTTTTTGTTTTCTCGTGGCGTAGATTTTTTTTTTTTTGTTGCGACAAAAAAATTATTGTTATTAGATCTTGTGTGTGTGCCGCAATATAATATTATTTAATATTACATAATTACAAATTATATAATTTTACTTATTGTAAATTATATTATTTCACTGCCTTAATTTTATTGTCTTTATGTCTTAATGTTAAATTTTATAATTTTATCATTGTTTCTTCGTTGCGTGTCTTGTCGTTATAACACTTTCTTTATTTGTTAATTTCAATGTCGTTCGTTCTAATTAATTCTCAAGATATTTGTGAAAGTGCACAACTAAAAAAAAAAATGTTTCGTTTTCAATGTAATTTAAACGTTGCGTTAAATCATCTCTTGTCTCTATGTTGATTTGCGAAATATCAAAGTCATGATCACAAAGTCTGTTGCTGCGGTGGGAGGCCATCAGCGAATATTGTTTTTGTTCAGCCGAGCACTGATCAACCGTGATCTAGTTACTCGCACCCGCGATGAACGCAATCATCATTATCGTTGCATCGTACATTATGCGAAGGTACCTCGGCGGTATTATCCATGGTGATAGGTCGTGTTGCTTGATGCATCAGGCGTCATGAGCGAGTGAATCCGGTGTCACATACATGCCTGTCTGTCACAACGTCGAAATATTATTAATGGAAAATTCTTTTGTTCTGACAATCAGTACGGCTGTTCTATTTTACTGTTTGATTAAAACGCCTGCGCATACACACGCACACACACACACACATCAATAACAATGATTGAAATGTTTACAAACTTTAGTAATTGTAATAATATTAAATAACAGTCTATTTTCAATTACATTATTACACCCGAATATTTGTTTAATTATAAATTTCCATATTTGAACACAGTTAATACAAAGATTTATTATTACTTAAATCTAATATAATTAATTAAATACTTATAGAGAGTTAAAATTTTTTAAATTAAGTATTTAAGAACAAATATAATATAAATAAAGAAGAAGACAAAAAAAAAACATTTTAAAAGATCAAGTGATCGTGTACAATTGACTTATTAATAGGAAATACTAAGAAATTAGTAGTAAGTTAATACGTACTTGTGTGCGTTTGGTCAGATAAAGAACCGGTTTTAAATTTTTAAGATCAACGAACAATGTCACGATTAATTAATGTAAATTACCTCTGGATCACAGCGTAAGCCAGTGCCCAATGTGCAAGATCATTGAGTTTGCGATGTAACCGTTAATCGTTGAGCTAATCGATTCCCTCTGTATTCGAGAACATGACGCGTGCGTCTGTTTACTGTATGTACCCGATCGTGCACACATAGGCTATGTGTAGACACATACTTTGCTTTGCGCGCGCTCACACACACAGAACACATATAATATATATAGACATATTTACTTCTCAGTTTCAGATAAGAGCAAGGAACCAGAAGCGAGACAGTTCGTCGGATTAGTAATCGGCATTCTGACGACCGTAATCGTGATGTTGCTCGCAGCCATCACGTTTATCTTCTACAGGAACCGTAGACTGAAAGCTGCCTTGGCGCCGTCGACTTTCTACGATCAACAGGGTGATCTCAAGGTCACTATAAAGATAGAATTCTTACGTAATTCTTCACGCTATCATAGTTTAAATTAAATTATTTATACATGTATAGAATATCCCGCATTTATTTTTTAATAAAAATTTATTTTTATACAAAAATCTTATAAAGAACAAATTAAAAACAAAACCACATAAATTGGAATTATCTTTTTTTATTACCTGGAACATCGATATAATGCGACTTTATCGATATTACAAAGCGATGGATCGATGATATATAATATCTATATAAATAAACGAAAAAAAAAATGCTGTGACACATGAAGTGTCATTCTTGTTGTTGTGAAATAATCGAGAAGTATGGAAAAAAATATTGTCCTTTATTTGATTTATATAATGTGAAAAACAATTTTGTTTCCCCAATTTTGGTTATTACGCACAAAGACGAAAATTAGAGAAATAATCAATATCTGAACCGTGCGGCGATGCGCATTATCAATTTTCAATTGGTTTTTGTTTTGTATTTTTTTTTTTTTTTTTTCAAATGACGTCAATTTTTATTCTTCAATCGCGGAATTTTTCTTTGCGCAATTTCTTCTAACCGGGTTTTACGCTCCAATCTCACCTCCGGCTCTAATAAACCGAACAGGTGCATCTATTTACTCTACGTTTTCCAGGTCACTCTAAGGTGTCTTTTGAGCAATCGCTCAAAACACCTTATATACGTATATACCTATTACGTGCATCGGTTTAGATACGAGCGCGCACGTAACTAGGGAAGAAACTACGGCGATCAAATATTTTCTTTAAGACGGAGGCGTAAACGAGCTCGTGCTGAGACGATTAAAGAGACGCCCCGAGATTGTTCGTTGGGCGCTTTTATTCAGGAATTTTATGCGATCATAGAGAGCGCGCCTCACACAATCGTGGAATTTGCACGAATTAATTTATTCATCGCAATAATGACGATAATTATCTTAACGGAAACGCGGCACTAAATTACCAAAATGAAAAGTGAAAATGACTTGATTACGGAGACGAGAGAGAACATGTTGCGCATTTGTGACGGACATTTTAATTTCGTTTTTCTTTTATTTTTGCGACGACGCAAATACGGTACGGAGAGTAGGGAAAAATAACGAGAAATATCTCGTGATGCACGGGCGACGATATTTTTCTCTGAAACGTCGCATTCCATCGTAGAGACCCGTTTCTCTAGCTCGGAAACGCTTTCCGACGAAAGAGACGTCTCGGTCTCACACCTCGCGCGTTCTAACATGGAATGTCTAACTTTGCCGTAAATTCTGCTCCGACTTCCCTCTGTCCCACGGACACAGAACGAGAATTATTAACGTCGCGTGTTTACCGCTTTCACCAGTGGACAGTTTGCACGGTCTCTACGACGCACGGTTTATAACGTGGCGTTCTCTTTATCTAAATGCAATAATGACTCACTTTCAAAACCAGGTTTGTTTGGAAAACTAAAAGGAAAATACAAAAGGGGGAAAAGTTAATGGATTCCCTTGCGCGCGCGCGCGTGCGCTTTGAACCAAATATCGAAACAACAAAATAGTACGTTCGACATCAGAGAAAAAATCAAATCGATGTGAAAATTGTTTTTTTAAATCGCGTTCAGAAAACAAAAAAACGTGAGCAATTTTATTTGCTCTCTCGTTGTTATCTATGTACGAAAAATCAGACCGACGATTTGTGATGACTCGCCGCCGAGGTAACAAGGTAAGAAGTGAACTCCGCGGAGAGAGAGTAATGTCTACAGATAAAAGTGCCGTTCGTGGTAACGGCGTGAGAAGGCGAAGAATGAGGAATAAAATGTTAGGAGAAGAGAATCGAGCGTGTTACGCAAAAAGTTAATACTTGGCTCCGGCCGTAGTCGAGCGAGAAGAGTGAAGGCGGAATGAGAGAAGAAAGAAGTCTGAGAACTTCGCGTATGTTTACCAAGCCACTGTTGTTCTAACCGGATTAATAGCAAGGTGAAGTTCCTTCGCAGAAATGGACAGCTTCTGCGCTTCTCCTCTTTCCTGTCCATCCCTTCCCCCCTCACCCCTATTCTTTTTCGCGGGATATAACGGGAAGACAGTAATTAACGACTTGCTGAACGATGAGAAATAATGAGTGCCAGACAGTTGAGCTTGCAAACCCCTCGAAGCTTCCCTAACTTCGACTGTTTGTACGGGCGCGTTTGGAGGGCGACTAGAGAAAGCGACTACGGAAAGCGACGATTAATAACGACGCTAACAACCTATCGAAACAAATTGAAGACTCGAAACAGCGACATTAGCTATCAGCGACTAATTAGTCACTCGGAATATTTCACTTAGCTCGTTATTAATAATGATAAATGAAACGAGAGACAATTCTGGAAATTATTAAAATTGTCGCGCGCGCGCGCACACACGCTTCCGATTGCTTTCTGTTATGCCCGAACTTTGAGAAGCCACAATAGAGTCGAATAGTTCGATTACATTTAAATAGTTTTCACAATACAAGGCAAATCAGAATTACTCTGTTACGTATTAGCAATGCTAAGCCAATTAAACGCTTCAAATAGATTTCTTGGTTGCCGACGAATGTGCATGGAATGCAAAGTACGTAAAAAGCTTGCGCTTTGTATTATTTTTTAATCGAAAGGACGCGCAAATTCTCCTCCTCGTTGCCATTTTTATCGTACATCACTATTCCCCCCGGCAAGCTAATATCGTTTCACGGCTGGTGAAAGTTTTTAGCGAACCGCCGAAGAAGCGCGCGTATAGTCGAGCTGACTCCACTTAATTAAAAGAGCCGGCAGAATGGCCGTATTTGCGACGCTGTTGTTGAGAGAAGACGTGCGTTATCTTCGTCGTTCACCCGCCGCTAAGTGGCGTCATATACACTCTCCAAACGCCTTCTTCTTTACCCATTCTCCGGACCGGGTGTTCTTACCTCATCCTCTCCTGCCTCACGTTCCCGACATTAGCCACCTGCTACTTGTCCGGTCTTGAAGTTGCGCAACCCAAACTTTCTCTCCTCCATCGAAATGATCCTATTGTCCTGCCCTGTGAGGAAAGCTGCGACCCCTGAGTTGCCAGAGTCTTCCAGAGAATGGCAAGCAGAAACCCAATGTCAATTTATCCGCTAACATACATGGGTCAAGAAGAGCAGTTCTGTTCGCATCGCTCTTCTTTCGTGCTCTCGAATCAATGTGATAAAATATTCAGTAACAATAGCTGCTCGAAGCACACATAAAAGATGTAGGTGCGCACATGCGTCTCTTCTTCGAAAGTTTCTTTTTTTCCACAAATATCTCCACGAATTTTATTAATTAAGTAGCTGAAAGTTTTATATTGTCAATTGTTAAATACCGCATTATCGCCTGCAAACTTTTTTATATAATCTTTTTGCGTATATAGCTGCAGAATTCGAAACAACTTACAAATTGGTAATTAATTCAACTCGGCGTTATATCGATTACGAGTAATTGTGCTCTCGCGGAGAAAAAAACGTTATTACTATTATTTTCTTCTTTTATATTATCCATCGAGTAACGAAACCAATTCCGTCTTTCGCTCTTCCCGATAGAATTCTGATATTCTCAGGAGAAGAGACGGTTTACGGGTACGCAAGGTTTCGACAATTTATCGAGCATCACAGAGCGCGAAAACTAAACTTTGTTTCGCGAATGACGTCATATCGATCCACTTCGTGATCCTCTTTAGAACGAGTGTGACGGGGAAGCCTGTCTCCTGTTTTTGACTCTCTCTCCCTCTCTCTCTCTCTCTCTCTCTCCCTCTCTTTCTCTCTCTCTTTTTCTGTGGCTCCATCGGTCTGCTTTAAAACGTTGAAGAGAAACTCCGCGGGATAGTATATCGCTTAAAGCTTTGCGAGAGAAGTGTTGTGTTGCTTTTTTTTTTACACCTCTCTTATCCGAGAATTTACGATGCAACGAATTCTTGTTCCAGATTTCATTGCGCGGGGATTATTCAATTTACGTAAGCATCCATCTGCGCGTTACAGGTCAAGCTGCTTATACAATTAGCAAATCAAATTATATTAAATTATTACCAAATTTACATATTGGCGCATATCGCTAATAAATTTGCTGACAATGTTGCCTTAAGGCCGTGTGTATCGTGCGACCGCGTCGAATAAACAACACAGCGCGAAATGATTTCTCGTTCAATTTCATACATTTTATTACCATTGAAAAAGTTCGATTGTGACGCCGACTCTCTATGTATGAACGTGCATTCGTGCGTATATGCAATTCGTGCGAAAAGAGAGTGTCGAACGGGAACCGGAGAACCCCCCATGCAAGAGTGAATGGTAATGCGATTACCGACTTTAGCCCGAGGGATCTGTGATACGATACGTGGGGCACAAAGAGAGAGGAGAGAGAGAGAGAGAGAGAGAGAGAAAGATAGGAGAGAGTCCAGCGAAAACAGATTATTTTAATTTAAAGCAACAAACTCTCTGATTTTCGCGCGCTGTAATCCTAACCGCAAGTTCGATACGCGTATGCATTGCGACAGCTTTGACAGATTAAGCGCTAAATTGTTAATGAAGACCAGCGGTGTTTAAAAAAAAAACTGGATTGTTAAGAAATTTATTTTTTAACATTTCGCGCAATTATTTCGGAAGCGGAAAAAAATCATCGCTAAGATATAATGAAATAGTGAAAACTTTAGATGTGGACTAATTATTTCAAATATTCAACGTTTTGCGCGACTGCAAAAGCACGTCGAAAATAAAACAAAGACAACAGTGCGCAGTGCGTTAATTAAAAGCGGGTCAGTGCTGTGAAAAATTAATAAAGAACGTAAAACAAGTGAAACGCGCAGGAGAGACACTTTTGGACAGCAGAGTTGGGAAATGTGCAAATAGCCGGATGGGTCTCTCGCAGCTTTCGCGAAAAAGAGGCGAAGATGTACTCATGGTAATGAAAATAGCAAAAAGCACTCCGGTGCTAATTAATGGAGGATCGTTTTATGTGCGCGGGATCTTCACGCTAACACCTCACGGATTTCGTCGAGTAACCCTGTGTGTCGTCACGATTTCGATTCGCGTTTCCGCCTCGCGCGCGCGAACAACGCGGGCTCTTTTCGCATCAACTCTTTGC